GTGTGTGTTTTAATTCTTCAAAGATAGTCTTAAAATAAAGGAACTATGGAAGGAGTATTATTAGTTCTCTATTGCTGCTATAACAAATTACCATAAACTTAGTGGCTTAAAATAGCACAACTTTATTATCTTATAGTTCTGAAGGTCAGAAGTCTAGAAAGGGTTGGCAGGGCTGCCTTCCCTCTGGATGCTCTAGAGGAGAACCGTGCTTTCCCTTTCCAGCTTCTAGAGGCCACATCTCCTCCTTGGTTTGTGGCTTCACTTCCTGCAGCCTCTGCTTGTTTCACATCTCCCTTGTTTATTCTGGCCCTCCTGTTCCCTTATCCTTCATACGAACCCTGAAACTACATAATGAAATCCAGATAATTCTGGATAATCTCCGCATTTCAAGGTCCTTAATCACATCTGCAAAGTTCCCTTGGCCATATAAGGTAACATATTTACAGGATCCAGGGAAAGGAAGAGGACACCCTTAGACAGGCATTATTCTGCCTACCACCAATGGAAAAGCTCTGGATGAACTCTGGAGATCACTTAAGCCAGTGGTCTCCAACCCAAGGGGATTATGCTGCCCAGGGGACATTTGGCAATGTCTGGAGACATTTCTGATTTTCACAACCGGGGAGTGGGGGGATTTACTGGGCATTTAATGGATACAATCCAGGGACACTGCTAAACATCCTGTAATGTACACAGGAGAGTGGCCTCCCCCCAACCAAGACTTATCCAGCCCCAAATGTCAACAGTGATGAAGCTGAGAACCCCTGATGGAAAGCATGGGATTCCTTGAAATCTTCTGAGTTAGTAAGGTTGCCATGCAATGGGAGTGTTTGCAGGATTTATATTTATACAGAGAATTTTGAGATATCACATACAAGCTCCATAATTCCATGTTTTTGACAATCTTATAGGGTAAATAAGAGATGAATAACATTACTCACACTTTAATAGTAGGGTTTTAAGCACTGCCCTAACTTGTTATTTGTTGAGTAGTTTGTTTGACTTTAGGTCTGGTGTAATCTTTCACACTGCTGCATTTCATATATAGACAAGTTCATTTCAAGTGTTTATTATAAACATCATTTTATGTATATTATGAATCTTTAAACTCATAGATGCTCAGATTTAAGTATCTAATGCCAAACAGATTTCAAGGTGACCCACAACCTTCTGCAATATTTTATTTTTGCCTTAGTATGACCCCTTGACATCACAGGATCAAAGAGAGAAGTGCACTTATCATGATATTCCCTTCCACTGGGAGGCTTAACTTAGAATCAACGTCCACTTAAAGTAAGCACCGTGAGTATCAATACTTAATTTTTCAATTCTCAAGACTTTCTACACTCTGGTTTGAATTTTCCCATCCCTTTAAAGTAATTCATAGAATTGCTAGTAGGGGACTTTATGTGTTTTTCAACATTTTTTCCCATCTCCTTTTCTTTTCCATCCACTCCACTCTTCTCATTCTCTCCCTTTCTTGGTTACTATTTTTCTGTTCAAGATTTCCCCTAGAGTTTTCTTAATTTGCAGCAACTTTTAAAGCAATGCTTGTATTATCTACGGCAGAAAAGACTTCTTAACCAGCAGAGGACTGAGTGTGTGCACATGGGTGTGAAAATTGTACCCATAAGGGTGAATTTGAACTTCATTTTTTTTTCCACCCAGGAAGAATAACTATGAATATGAAAGTATTCTAACAGATTGTGAACCAAGAGAGCAGAATGAAAAAAAAACACAAAAAAAACCCCCACAAAGCTACTCAGCAACCTTGTTTACCACCGAAGCTATTTCTATTGTGTACATTTCTCTGCCAAGACACAGTTCTATGAGGTGTTTTACATTTGGTATGATTTCCAAGCTACAATGAAAAGATACAGGTTAAATACATTTTAATGAGTTGAGACTTGCCAAACACTATTTTTAAAAAAGCCCAACGCCATACCTCTAAACATTAAGCCACATCTAAGATTCCAGATTTCAAATATCACTTTGCTCACTGGGGTGGGTACCACTGGAGAAAACTGCCGGGACCTCTATGCCTATCTACTAATCAAAGGATCCTAATTCTTCAAAAACAAAATGAAAGAAAAAAGAAAGAGAGAGACAGAGAAAAAAGAGTGTGTAGGAGAAGAGACTGTGTGAAAGAGACTTAAGAGACAAGTCAGGTGTATTAAGGACTGAGAAACTTGGAGCTAATTAGAGCTAATAACAGGATGGCATGAGCATATAACAGGGCAGCTGGTAGAGGGAGAGGAGGGGGAGGCTTTGGGGAGAGAGCAAATGGTAGCTTTGACAACTTGGGCACATGTCAACTCTGGCACAGGGACCCTGAATATCTCTCAGCCAAGGCACCTGTACAACCATTTCCCCAGAGGGAAAAGGAACTTCTGGTTCTAGGAGAAGTCCATGGATGGGAAAGTGCCTGTTGCTGTGTTTTCTCCCAGTCAGGTCTCCTTCAAGCTGCTCACATCATGCCTCAGGTGTATGTGGGGCTGGTGCACTTAAGTTCCAGAGCAAAATAAATAAATAATGATACCAACAAATCAAAAAGCCACACAGAAATGCAAAGGAGCACATATTCGGGATATCAGACTACAACCTTTAATCCCAAGATATTGTCCTGTTATTACTTTGCAAAGGTCAGTGACTAACAGAAACCGGGTAAGAATATCCCACAACATATGGTTGACACTCATTTGGAACAGGTTATTTCCTGGAAGGAAGTTCAGAATCTCGTCAAAGGGCGTTAAATATGGTGTCTCCATCCAGGGTGCCCTGCTCAGCTACGCCTTTCTTCTCGTCGAAATGCTCTTTTTTGACCACACTCCAAAGGGCGTGACTCCTGCAGCTCCTCATACTTCTCTGACTTTTCCTTCTACTCTAATTTTTGATGTCCGATGTCCTCTGAAGTTCAGCCACTACACCTCTTCTGCTTTTGGGAACTCAACAACTCCCAACGCTCGGCTATGGCCCCTGGGCGGACGGATCCTAAGTCCGCCCCGTGGGGGATTCTCTAACCCTCCATCTCTGCCTTTCCGATGTCCATCCCCACTGGATGCTCCCCAGCTTAGACCCATCACGTCCAAATCCATATTAATCACATCCCTCCCTACAATAAACTTACCTCCTGACTTCCTACTGCCATGTGCACTGGCACCATTCTCCTGAGTCCCTTAGGTTTTAAAACTTGGTGTCATTTCCAAATTATTCATGCCCTTCATTTAGCAAGGCAAGCCAGCCAATTCTCCCTTCATGCTGGCCCACAGCTGTGTCATCCCTCCCCAATCACACCTGAATTACAGCGACAGCCCCTACCCCGCCACCCTTCCTGGCTCCTCACTTCTCACTTAATCTACTCAGCTTAGCATTCCCAGAATCATCTTTCAACTTTTGTCTTATCAAGTGACTTGTTCAAGAAAATATCCATGTCTCCATTACAACATCAAAGCTAAACAGATTTCCAAAGCTCTCAGTAATATGCCCTTCTCTACCGTGTCTACATGCTCGCCGCTTCCTAACAATACAATTTCCTCCTGCTGGTCCTTCTTGCTGGGAATTCCCTCTTCTGTATCTCCACTTCCAAATCCCAACCCTGCATCAAGGCCCCTGCCAAATCTCAACTTCTCCACGTAGCTTAAATGACTACATGGCACCCCTTCTTATTTCTTACCCCTCACACAATTTGCATGGAGAAATTGAATACTTAATGATATGATGTTCACCATTTCATACATGTTAATTTTCTTTCTCCAACTACATGGCAAGCTCCATAAAGCTAGCGATATAATTAGTTTTCTATCACCCTACCATATACTCCAGGGCTGAAAAGAGTCAGTTCTTTTTTAGAATGAACAAGTTAATTATTCTACTATTTAAATACATTTTTATTTTTCTTGACTATAAATAAGTGATCTATAATGAATAAAATCATAAACAAAGCAAATTTAGAAACATATTTATTAGCATTTGATTTTTAAATGTTATATATTAATTATAAAACTATTACATTTAAAAGCTGTCTTCTTACCTGATTTTATGCAGTCTGATGTCTTGCAAATACCATCTAGAAAAAGGACAGTATATACATAAGTATTTGCAATACAGGTTTTCTAATTTCTCCCTATCTTTTGTTCTTCTAAAAACTGCCAACTAAATAATCAATTCTGTAAAGCAAAAACTAAACCTGAGTACACATATCACTGTTAGTAGTTGGTTGTTTTTTTTAAATGGAGGAATAAAGTGGGAAAACCCTAAATTTAAAATTTCCATTATGAATAAAAATGTATTTATTACATCATCTCTACCCACTTAGCTCTAGGTATTTTAAAGGGAAACAATCAATTGTTTTAGTCTGGTAATCATGTTCTTTTGCCATTCAGAAACCAATCTTTTCCAATTCTTATTGTGAAACACTTCTAAGACTCACATTAGACCTCTTAAATTCCCGTGAAGCCCTTTAGAATTTCAATGACACAACAAAATTGACTAATTGAAGTTGGCCACAAAACTGTGTGTACTTTAATCAAATACAATTACAGAGTAGAATCCTCATGAAGTAAACACGAGTGCATTAAATATACTTGGCAATTAATAATTTAGCTCAAACATAAAGGACACTGTACTTTAGTCAAAGTCAATTGTTTTGACATATTGATATTATACTTTATAAATGAATCTTTATAGCATTATCTCTAATGTAACTGTCTTTCCCCTTAACGGGTGGGGAAAGCGTGAGAAGACTTCACTCTCTTCTGCGCTTGTGTGTACAGGGCCGTGGGAGCAACTCACCGTCATAGGTGGCGTAGAGCGCTATCATCGTCACAGCGATGACAGTCAGGAGCAGAACCAGGACAGAGAGGCTGATCTCCAGGGACGTCCATTGCTGTCTCTTCTTTGGCTTTGGAGTGCTGATGTCAGTTATATCCATCTGACTTTCTGATCTACCCATTACCTAAAATCTGCAAAAAATCAAAAAAAGAATTTAAATACTAATAGCAAATTAATAAAATGATAAAAAGAGAAGGAAATACATATACATTATTCCCAAAGTCTTATGTGGCTGAATAAAGTAAAGGTTAACTTATTTTAAATAAGAAATAAAAGTTTTTGGTTGAAAGTCAAAATTTTGATTCTCACAGCAAAGAATATAAAGCCAGATGAATTGGATAGGTCCCTGTGACAACCTTTTGGTTCTTTTTCTTATATATATTCACAAAAGATCTAAGCAAAATTAGACAAGGAGATGCAGTTACATACTCACATAGGATTCCTTCAGCAATTCAAAAGCAAATAGTTGCTGAACTGTCATTAAGGAAAGTTTTAAACCACCCTTCTGAACTTTGGACAATGTCAAAGGTGAATTTTATATCTTGTTCCAGTGACTTCCTTCATAAGCTCAGAAATAAATGACTAACATTTTGAGGTTTTGACTAAGCAATAACTTGAAATAGGAGTACAGATAAAAATAAATAAACACCCGTGATAGTTTACTTTTAGTCTTAAAAACTTTTGATTTTACAGTTCAAAATTATGACTATTGCTGATATGGACATCTATTAACTGGTTAGACAACATTCTGAAAATGGTTACTCACTGGACCAAAAGTCAGTGTGGTTTACCTCCATAAACGAAAGTTATTAACCATAATCTCTTTGCGCAACTGAAGAAGAGAAAAACATGATTTTAAAATTTCTACCTTGTAGGTAAGGGTAACAATGGTTAAGATGTTTATTGAACTTGTATTTAAATTAATATTAATACTTCTACTAATAATAGCTGACATTTATTGAGAACTTTCCATGTGTCAGTCATAATTCTTCATGCTTTACGTGTAGTAATTCATTTAATCTTTGTGAGATGGATATTCATAGTCTAATCCTATACCGTAGGACACTGAGGCACAGAAGTCAGGTAATCCATCCAAGGCTATGTAACTAGTAAATGTTCTTTATAAAAAACACATTTGGTCATTGTTTGATATAAAATTGTATCATCATACAATAAAAGCTATTTTAAATCATACTGCATAAGTTCAGAGGGGAAATTTAAGGGATATAAGACTAAAAATCAAATTTCATTATGTTTCTTTTAGAAGCCTATTGATTCTCTATGGGTCATCTACCAAAGCCCAGACAACTTCAGTTTTTCTGCAGGGCTGTAGTTAAAAGAGCATTGTAAACTAACAGATTAGCTTTTTATAGCTTGATACAAATTAAGTGTATAATTTAGTTCGTAAATGAAGTGACTGCTCAGAATTGCTCTTACAGCTAAAGATCTTTGCTGAACACACACAACTCCTTGAGGGTGTGTTTTGTGGAAACCGAGGCACAGGATAAAGTAGAAACAGAGCCTACATTTGAAGGGTGGCCTGGGAGATCCAGTAGATTACTAGAAATTTAATCTCTTTGGTGAATTATTAATAAGTGAAGCACAACTGGACTTTAAAGTTCTGGATACAAAGTCTTAAGCATGCTGTCCCCTTGATTACATGAGGCTATAACCAAGGACAGACTTTCAAATAAAAATATTTTATTAGACCATGAAAACCATGCCTGCTCAATAAAAGTGGAATGTAATGTACCTGAATGTTAAAATGTTTTCCTTAATGGTTATATAACCCATGCTAGCTTATTCTACAGCCCCTGAGGTTATGATATGGAATCGCATTCATAGTAGTCCCATCCTTTTAATAGGGGTGGTTAGGGGGGAAAAGACGGGACCAAATTTAACACTTGGACACCATACCCAGAGATAAACAACAAAAAGAATCATTTTGCCAGTTCTCCCAGGAGGAGGAGAGGCCGACCTAAAGAACATCTGAATGTTAATCACATTTGCACAAATATTTCCCTCTCTTGAGTACTTCTCCCCCTGCTCTAATGATATTTCAGAAGACAACCTAAAGAAACAGTGTCCTGGTATATAATACGATCCACTGCTCTCTTTCGTTCTTTGAAACAACAATCAGTTTCTCCAGTAAAACTTAGTGCCAAGAACCAGGGCCGCCAGGGGGTTAAATTAAAGGTGCTCTTTAGCACCACTGGGCTTCTGCAGGAAAACTTCTGGGTTCTTCATGGTGCTGCATCTAAAGCAGCAGAAATTGTTCTGGGAAATCAAAGGCAGCCACTGAAGCTGTCTAGTCCTTTTGCCTATGTCAAAAGAATATCAGCTTTGTATCCCCTGCAAACTCTCCATCTTCTTGTAAGCCCTCTGCAAATTTCAACCTTTTGTTCCTAAGTAGCACTTTTAACCACCACTGAGCAAAAGCAGAAATGATGCAAGTTTAACCTCTTAATCAGCTTTCTTACTCATTTCCAGTTAGTTCTGGTGGTGGATGCAATATCTTCTTCTAAAGAAATAGGGGTCAGAATCTTGAACCCCAGAATGAAAGATATCACCAACTCCCAGATTCTTGAATATCCGACTCCACCGCATCCAACAGCATTTGAGAGAGGGTTTGGAAAGGAGAGCAATACACAAAAGAACACTATATATATATACATATGTATGTATGTATAGTTGGTTCTTGTAGTCCCAAAATAAAGCAAGATAAGCCCAAACATATTTCACCTTAACTAGAGCTACCTTAGAAAGTGTAAACAAAAAAAGTAGACACTTCCGCAGAAGGAGAGACTAGAGAATTACACAGATCTAACTCAAAAACCAGCTTGAAAACATCGCCCAAAGAATAAACGATTATTTTGCTTAAGTAGTAGCTGAATTTCAAAAGTGATATAAAGCAGCAGAGCTTATCCCAGTCAAGAATACATACCACTTTATCACCCAGTCAAATCAAAGAACTTAGAGCACAGGTGGTCTGCTAGGAGGCAGTCCATAAACCAAAGCAATTTTCGTCTTCACAGCCCATCACATTAACATTTCGGCAGGCGCCCGAGGGCACGCCCTGCAATTACAGTTTATATGATGGAAACTGAGGCACAGGAAGCTGGACAGGTAGATGATAGCTTCAGAAGCCTAGGAAGCAGGTGCTCAAGAGAAATTACCGCCTTGTTTTTCCCGGACAGTAATTGGTAGGTGTTGGCGGGGCCCAGAATAGAGTTCTGGACACACGGTCCCAGCCACTTGGCTCCCATCAGCCCGACAACGAAAATCACTGCGCGGAGCCCAGGACCCCGGGCCCGGGAGTTTTCCGAGGGCTCAGCCCGGCCGCAGCGGCC